ATAATCCTCAGAATTCAATCTCAAATGAGGATAGGATTGCAGGATTAGAGCAGAAACTTAAGGGAATGCTATGTGAGAATGGAGCACCTAGTCTATTCTTTGCCTTGCCAGAGGAAATCCCCATCAGCAGGTACAGCCGGAAAAAATCCTGCATGGAAACCTGGAGAGCCACTGTCAGTCCAGGTTGATGGTACTGGACTCAATGGGCCAATGAACTGACCCAGTGGGCAGGTTCACATTATCTGAGAAGCCGTGATGGACTCTTAAAGCTGTGGGTCTCTTGGGTCATCAAGACCCAGTTCCAAAGTTCCTACATGGTTGGATTAATTTCCTGGAAAGAATCCATTATTTGTTCTAAGGTTTCCACATTTCACCATGGCTTCTCTGGTCATCTGGGCCAGGAATTGCTGTTTTACCATTGTTCGTATGGAAATACCATAGAATCCACCAGCAAAATTAGCAATGAAAGAGACCTCTTCTAGCCATAACCTCTACTGCCCTCGTCACAGCAACAGAAGTATCATTGTTCACTTCATTCCCACTGGCCAAGCAATGTGCCCATCTCCTGTTCACTCTTGGAAGCAGGAGACAGAGCAAAAGTACACAGAGGAAAAAAGGGGGTATTGTTGCAAAACTGTTTATTTTCATTTAATTAAAATCTCTGTGGGAGTTCGAGTGACTGGGAAGTGCCGTAGACAAGCAGGTACCCTTGTGAAGAAAATGGGGGGACCTGTCTCAGGATCACAGTGGACCAACAGAAGGAGGCTGTTGAGGTCCATAGGTAAGAACAGGGAAAGAACAGGGATCCCACTCATGGGATCAATCAGGATGGAGCAGGGAGCATGGAAGCCACATTGGCATGGGAACCATGTGATTGTCTGACTGTTAAGTTCAAGCAAAACTCCATGTACTATTCAAATACTTGGCTTATTGTGTGAGCAAAGGAAGTATGAGTCAGTTTCCTATGTTCCTAGAGTAACCACATGTCCTCTTTTGAGCCCACATGTGCTAACTGTGAAGCCCTAACTGCTAGTTAGTGCCTACCTTAATATGGGACCTAAGCTCACATGAAAAGCAAAGGATTAGGTGGGAGAGGCAGTGTAGTATAGTGGTTAGTTGGACCAGGACCTGGAAAATCTGGGTTCTAGCCCTTACTTGCCCATGGAACTCATTGGGTATCTTCAGGCCATTCAAAGACTCTCAGCCAAACATACCTCACAGGACGGTTGTGGGGACCCAATGGAGAAGAGGAGGATCGTGTCTGTTGCCTTGCACTTCTTGGAGGAAAGGCAAAATATCAATGAAACAAACAATTCGATGGCCCAGGCTGGTTCTGCAGTATAGACCAGCCCCCGAGATGACAGGTGACTGATCTTTTTTCTACGACATTTCCACTCATGATCCACCTCTAAGGTAAATCATCTGTGCCCCACTCTGTTCCAGGGCATTATGAAGGGCAGTGTTGTTTTGTTAGCAAAGCATCTCTAGCCCTGGGGGTTTACCGTGTCTTGCTTGGAGGGCATCATTTACAAAAGGCAATGTTCTTAGATGCAGTGATACATTAACCTCATGCTGTAGTGGGGGCTCCATGGGGCACATGCAGACATTGTGTTGGCATCAAAATCAGACATGATAATGAGATTTCCATGGATTTATACAGAAAGTGTTTGACATCTTAATGAAGTATAGATTACACTTGCATTGACATCTCACTAAGAGTGCTGTAATTATATTAAATCTTGCTGTACTTAGGGGGAAATTATCCTACTTAACCAGTTTGCAAGTGATAGAATAATTTCACCCGATCCAGCTCTAGCTGTGATTGAAAAAAGTGTTTTTATCTTGCACCAGAATGTGGGGAGGGGTGGGCATTTCACTGTAAGCAAAGTAGAGCAGATAGATGGAATCCTCCTTTGCTTGCACATTCCATTTCCACCCTCAACTTTTGTGTGTGTCATGGAAGCTTGTTTTGGAGAAAGGCTCTCCTCCTTTAGATTGGGGAACATGCATATTTTGGAAAAAGGGGTGTCCAGTGTGACCCCGCCAAAATTCTGAAATGAAGGGGGTGAGCTGAGGCTGTTGCTGCAGTACAATGGAAATGTGTGGGAGAGTGACTCATAGACTCATAGGATTGGAAATGACCTCAGAGATCATCTAGTCCAGCCCCTAGTTCAGTATGGGCTCTGTGCCACAGATGGCCATCCAATCTGCTGGAACACCTCCAGTGAAGGAAAACCTAGTATCTCCTCAGGCAATCTGTTCTACTGCTGAATAGCTTTCAGTGGTAGCAAGGCTCACCTGATGTTAAACAAAAATCTGCTTCCCTGCCATTTCCATGCTTTGGTTCTAGTCCTGCCCTCAGGAGCAGGAGAGAACACAGAAAGTTTATTGCTGGCAGAAAAGGGAGAAACTCTGTGCCTCTCTTGGGTTACAAGTATCAGACTATGCTTAACGTAGGCTAAAATGCACAAAGAAATCCAATGAAAAGTGCAACCGATGTAGACTTTACAGAAAGATGTATGTTAATACTGTTTTAAGCCTTTTGGGTAGAAACTCTCCTCTAACTAGCAATCTCTTTGCTGCATTTCGTTTGTGCAGAATCTTCAGTCTAACTGTTGCACTTTTAGCCTATCACCAGATTTAAGTCACTACCATTTTTCCCTTTATGTCACACAGGATTCCTTATGTCAGCTGGCCATAAGCTGGTCTCTGCTTGCCTAGAAATGTTTGTCTCTCAAACATCCCTGACTCCTTTCTCTGAAAAACCAGAGAATTCCTTCTCTTGTTCATAGGTGCCTTTCAGAATCTCTCTTTCACGGATTGTGATGTGCACAGGCTCTATGCTTGTCATGGAGCATTGCGCCATGAAAGCTGTTGGATATTGTTAAAAGGAATTTTCAGGATCTATTTATGGGGGAAGGACTTTGTTTGTTTGTGATATTTATATGCCGTCCTATTGCAAAAGCCTCAGGACGGCTTACATAACAAAATACAAATATCAATATAAATAAATTAAAACAAAATGTCAACATAAAAATCAACATAAACAAATCGACCCACTCTGGCTGCAGTTAAAAATATAATATTAAAAATACCATATTAAAACTTATTAAAATATTGATGAAATAAAAAGGTCTTAACCTTTTATCAGAATTTCTTCTCAGAACAGAGGAGCTGGAAATCTAACCAGGGTTTGATTTGGCATGGGTCCTGTGGAAAAATGGAGGTGTTGGCTTCATAGAAGGAAGAAGGCTTTGAGATCTTAAAATGGATTCAGAGATTGTGCATTCCCATCCCACTAGGGCAGGGTTGGCATCCATAGATTGGGGCAGAGCAGCTGAAGCATGGGCGTCGAAGCTCTTTCCTCACAAGGGCAGGATGCTATTCCGGAGATACTTCTAGGGGCTGCATTCCAGTGGGAGGCAGGACTGAAAGCAGAAGCTGAGAGGTCAAAACCACCAGCATATTTTACATTAAAGCTCTTATTGCCAGTAACTAAGACTTAAGAGAGGCATACATGCCTTTTAGAATAGGGTGAGAAAAAATTGCACCAAAGCCAGGAAACCACTAATGATTGGGGGTGGATGAAAGGGGTGAGCTGGAAGGCTGAGTTTGGCCCCAGGCCTGAGGTTCGGAAGCCTTGCTGTACCACCATGTGCCTCTTAGAAAGAGTCTCAGAAAAGGGACGGAGACAGACCGAGCTTGACTTTCCCTCGTACATCCCACAAAACAGGGCCATTTCCCACCATCTGCCCAGTGGGAAAGTTCCTCATTGCTTGTGTTTGCTTTTTTAATCATTTATTTTGATTCTGTTTGGGATTCTTGATATTCCTTGTAAGCCATCTTTGAAAGACATTAAAGGCAGGGTATACATACTGAGTGATAATAACATCATAACCCTATGAAGGGGGACAGTGGACGATCAGTGGGGTTAATTTGCTTTATTATTATTTTTATATCCCACCTTTTCCCTGAAATAGAGTTCCGTCCTCTAAAAGCATTTCCACATTCCTGTGGCAGATTTATCCTATGAGGGAGAGGGATAACCTGGCCCGAGCAAGCTCTGAGGTGATCTTTTCCTGCCTCACACTCTTTTCACCCCAAGTGTTCCCCTGGGGGTTAGCATTACTGTGGTTAATACTGCCTTTCTTGAGACAGGAATGAGTGGCATTGCCACAGATTCCGCATCATGATTTCACATCATGTCAAAAAGGTCCTTTGAGCGTGATCTGCATTCTTGAGTAAGTTCAGTAAGATTTCATTGCTAAACAGCTTTGCAGTGTCTCTGGTGTAATCCACAGACTCCAGTGCTAGTTTAGACAGTACCTCTTGTGTGAACTGGCAGGCAATTGCTGCAATCCTGTTTTCTGAGGAGTAATACACCACTGAAATCACAGGACTAACTGCTCAGTAGGGGTGTGTGTGTGTGGAGAGGGAGGGAGGATTGTGCTGTGTAACTCTTCTTCTTAGTGGTGGCTCCCCATTTCTGGAATGATCACTCTGAAGAAGCCTGCCCGTTGCTAATGTTGTGTTTTTAAGACCTCTTCTCTTCAGCCTTTGGCAGCCTGTGATTGATGCCAATCAGGTCCTGGATTTTTCCTAGTGTTATTTTAAAGTTATTGTGATGTGTGTGTGGTTTATGTTTTTATGTAAAATATTTTTACCCTACATGTAATGTATTTCTAAGCTTGTAAATCACTGAAACTGTCCAGACACCTTCAGTTACTGGGCAGCAGAGAAATGCAATCCATGAGATCAAGAGGGCAAAATGCTCTTAACATTTTGAAGGCACTCTTTTTGGGAACTGAAGGCTGATCGATTTACTTCAACTGCCATCCAGTTGCGGAGCCCATGAGTTGGTTCCAGACAGAGGATCCTCATAGTGACAATTGAAAGACACTGTGCAGGTATTCATTCTCCTTAAGAGTTCTGAACAGATGTGTGCATACATATGTGAGTAAAGGAAAAGAAGGAAAAAAAGAAGTGGTGGGAAAACAGAGGAAGTTTACAAATAGAATACATTTTTGTCTAGAACTCTGATAACATTTTGTGAATGAAGCAGGAGATTACAAAATAAAAACATCCATATGGAGGAACTTAAGTATTTTTAACCATTTTTAAACCTAGGCATTTTTAACAACAATGTCAGTACTTTCATTTGGAAAATCTACACAGTATGAAATATGGCCATGCACTTGTCAACTGCTATTTGTGCAGTTTTAGGAAGTGGAATGGAAGGAGAAAGGGACCACTATTTCTATTTCACATATAAATGAATCAGATTTTTCTTATTGCCCGTTGTGTTTGATGTTTTAGAGATTCTAAAATCCATGGACACAAACATTTTTAAAATCACAGATGCAAGTATTAAGAGATTACCATGCTCTTTTCATGTAGTTTTCTCTTTCTCGTCCAAATAAAAATAATTACTGGCTGTATCTTACCTTTTCATTAAAACTATTGACCAAGTGCTACAGTCCAACAGTGGGACTAAGCCCAGCTTCACACTAATGCTGGCCTAAGCAGTTTATAGAGTGTATTGTTCAGTACCAGAACATTTTTCAAGTCTGGTGACTACAATTCCTTTTGATGAAGTAAAAAAATAAGTTCAGCTCTTTATTTTATGAGAGGAGAGATTGGGTCATCTTGCCTGAAAGGTGTACTCCCAGATGTAATCTCAGAGAAACAGAAGCCTATCAGAAGCAAACTGCTTAGCGCATGTTCAGAGGCACTCTCTTGATTTTGCTACACATTCCAAGACTGAGACATGGCAGCAAGCCATGCAGTTGGTTCTGTCTCCTGCCTTGAGCTTTAAGCCTCATACACAAGGCCACACCTTTCTATTCTACCTAATTGGGTAATAACAACCACCCAATGTTCCTTCATGCAGATTTTAATGTGAAATAGAATCTCCACTCCACATTATCTAACACAGGATGGGCAGCCTCTCCAGAGGTTTTCATCTCTACTGGTCTTGGTCTTGGTTGGCATAATCAGTGGTTATTATGGCAGCCGTGATAATCAGTGGTAAGGGATGATGCAAGTTGTCGGTCAAAACATCACCTCAATTTAATCTGCCATTTCCTGAAAGAGTTAGAATAGTTACATTACTTTCTATTTCTTAAGGTATGGTAATGCTGCAGTCCTATACCTGTCTCTCCAAAAGTCTTATTAAGGTCAATGGGCTTACACTTGGTGTAAGAGGATATGGAATTGCATCCTACGTGGTATCATGGGCAACAAGTATATCTCAAAACTGAGATATTATGTACGCTGAATCCTAACAATGAGTTCGGTGGGCTGTATACGTCAAAAAATGTGTATAGTCCTACTGCTCTACAGGTCTTTGCAGTCAGTGCGTGTTGATCAGTTGAGTTTGCTCCAAAGATTCAAAGGACCCCTTCCTTGTTCAATCAAACATGGCAAAAACTCAACAGCCATCTCGTTTCTGGTGACGTTCTGCCACTAATCTAACAACTCATGTCCTTGGTGAAGCAGCAGCACTTACAGAGCGGAAGGGTCTTGGAAATCCTCCGCTTTTGCTCCCCCGGGGTTCTCCCAAGCTCCCTCTTGCGTTAGGAGGTGCACCTTTTCTTATTAGCAATAGAAGGCACACTTGCTCGCGAATAAAAAAAGAAACTACTCAGGATTGCACCGCATAGCTCCCATGCGAAGTACACTTAGGCATAACACCCCGTGAAGTCACGGAACGTCCGAGTAAACTCGGACCCATTCGGTCTTCAAGACCTTGAAGCGAACAGCAAGGGCGAAGCTCAGAGGCATTTCACTCAAGTCTTCCTTGTTCTGGACCACCTAATCCTTTGCTCAGCCGTTCTTGACAGGGGTCAGAAATTCCTTTTTTGGCCCTGATCCGTCAGTGAATCGCAGTAGAAAAAAAGTAAAAAATGACTGCTTTTCCTTCACTGTGCCTAACATTTCCCCCTTTTTTCTTGCAGCATCCCTCTACCCTCTCTTACTGCAGTACTCCAACAGAAATTCAGCACGTTCGCGTGCTTCTTTCACTTTCTCTCCTCCAGTGCTCAGCTGAGCAATTCGACTCCACCCCGCAAACAGCCACAAAATTTCTCCGGGGATCCTCCCTCGCTCCGTCCCGTGTCCGTTTTTTGCAAGGGGGCCTGGAAGCCGCGCCAGCGCCGCGGTTCTTAGAGTGGTTGGGAGGAGCTCGGCTCGGGCTGAGCTAGTTGAGGAGGGCGTAGCTCGCAATCCTGGGCCAGAAGGGTTATTTCTGTTTCCGACCAGGACGCCAGAATTTGATGGAAGAAAAAGGAGGCGAGGATTCGGGGCCCCTGCCTACCGGAAGTTGTGGATGGTTTCTGCCCGGGATCCCTTTCTAATTTCGACTTAACGTTTGCATTGTGACGTAGGAAGGCACTTAAGAGTGACGTACAAAGCACTCTGCACATGCACAGGAAAGGAGCTCTTTTTTTAAATGGTAATTTCACACCGAGGCCGAATCAAACTGGAAAGTGGGACCAGCAGAGAGCAGAGCCGAGTTCAAAGGAAGCCCGTACAAACATCCATATTCACACGTAGTGACAGGAGCTACCAAAATCTCGCGTGTAGCTACGCGTCGGTGGCCGGCCCCGGTGCAGATCGTAGGCACGTGCCGCGAGGGACGGACAGGCTGCAGGCTAGCAAACGCTTCTAAGGGCGCTATCCTACGCAAGAAAAAACCGTGCAATTCCCAGCGCTCCCCAGCCAGCCATACTAGCTGGGGCATGCTGGGAATTGTAGGAATTTCCCCCCCCCGTCTAAACCTGTGTAGGATTGCACATTAAAACAGCTTTCTCTAACCTGGTGCCCTCCAGATGTTGGGCTACAATTCCCAGCATCCCCAGCAAACATAGCTGGGGATCAGCAGGTTGGAGAAAGTTATTGTAAAACACAGCTTCGATGGAAAGCAGCTGTGTTCCGAGTGTTTAAGATTTTCGTGCTTCGCAGCCCCCTACGTTCGTCACGAGTCGTGAGAACGGGCCGGCCTTCCTGGAATCCCAGAGATAGCTGCTGCTCCAGCCATGTAACCTCAACGGTTATTTTTTTATGGGGTCGCAGTCTGCTCCTTGCACAGGGAATCCGCCACTCACTCTAGCCTCTATAGCAGCCTCCCGGGCGTTTGTTTTTGGTCACTGACCTTACAGATGGGGTCTTCCCTAAGCCAATTGTTTGCTGAGACGTGCAGCGCGCTGCTCGGGCAGCACATGGGCAGGAGCGGCTTTCCCTTTCCCAGGCTTTGGTGTCAAGCGTTTGAGGAGTGATTAATGGCCGGGTGCGTGGGCGAGGCAGCGTCTTATCTCCTTAGCACCATCCCCAAATAACACGCCCCGAAAGGATGCAATCCGATTCCATTCGGGCAAGGACAGTGTGAGTTTGGCCAGTGGCCTGGAGTGAGCCTTGGCTTACATAGCCTTAAATTTGGAAAGCGACGCTGCTTTTCCTCTCCCTCCTCGCTTCCACTCGCCAGGCAGGGGCAGGAAAATTGCTCCATCTTCCTGCTATCCAAGTGACAAGAAAAAAAGATGCATCCTCGCTCCTCAACGCTGCCTTCCATCCATTAGGAGGGAGGAGGGAGGCAAAAAACGAAAGCTACCCCCTCCCCACGCGCGCACGCACGCACGGAGCACCCAGTCGGAGAGGGGAATCAGCCCCATTCTTCTCCCGGTTCCCCATTCCCCTCCTAGTGGAGAGACGGGCGGAGGAAGAGCGGCGGCGGCGGCCCAAGCCACGGTGGAGTGAATGCGTTGCCATGGCAACTGGCAGAGGCAGGCAGCAGGCCGGCCCCAGCCCCAGCCGCCTCGGCTGCTCCTCAGTGCTTGCTGTGTGTGGGTGAGAGGAGTGAGCAAGCAAAGCAGGCGGGAGAGGAGGACGCGCGCGCACGCCTGTCCGCCCGCCCGCCCGCCCGCCCAGGGAGAGGGGAACCGAGGGGGGGTGTGGGGCCCCCCGAAGAAAAGGGAGAGGGGCCGAGGAGGGGCGCGCGACTACCCCAAGGGGGAGGCCGGGGCGCGCGAAGTGGCTCCAGAATGATGGAGGACGGATTCTCCAGTTACAGCAGCCTCTATGACACCTCCTCTCTTCTGCAGTTCTGCAACGGTAAGGAGAGGAAAGTGGGGTTTCCCTCACGCACGGGAGCTGGGGGGAGCTGCCTGGGGAGCTGGGGGGGGTGGTCCTAGATGTCTGAGCTGTGGCGGGGGCCGGCAAAACATTGCAAGCTCCAGCAGCCTTGCAAGTCTTGGCTGCCGGCTGCTGCCTAGTTCTTGGCAAGAAAGGTGGATGATGTGCAGAGCAAGCTGGAAAGGGAAGTCTGTACCCATCCAAACCTTTCTGGCCACCCCGGCCCCAATTATCTCACTAGGCTGAAGTAGAGGGCCTTTTCTAGGCTTTCCCGGGAATCCTCTCTCCGCCGTACAAACTGTGGAGCTCGGGAAAAGCTCCTGTACCACCAGCAACACTCCGCTTCTCCTGACGTTGGCCGTTCCAGTTGCGCGTATTTATAAGCGTAGGAGGAGGGAGAGAGAAAATGCCCGTGTCTGTTGTGGAGAACTTTTTTATTTTTTTATTTTTTGACCTGGTTTATAGAAATGCACAGACGTCTGTGTAATGCAAGTTTCACTGGGAGGAAAAGAGTGTGGAAAAGAAAGTGAAAACTCTCCCCACCTTGTGTCGTTGGAGGGAGGGGAGCTGATTGTCGCTCTGGGTGTAACTTGTAAAGAGCTCCACTAAGTGGGGTAAAAAGGCTTGTGCGGTTGACATATTTTCTAGTTTTACAGGCTTAGGCTTTGAATGAGTGACGAAAGCCTTCCAAGTTTTAAGGAATGTGTGTTTGTGGATGGTAATTTCTTTTTAATATGAATCATCCATGTGTTGTGTAATTCTGGTAATAGGTTCAATTTGTTTCAAATATAGCTCAGCGTGAAAGATTTATGGTATCTCGTGAGGCTATATTTAAACAAAAGTCAGTGCTGAGTTTGAAAAAAGTATGTCCCCAAATTCTGTAGTTTCTGGCATGTTTCTTTAGGCTTATATTAAATCAGATGATGCTTGGAAGCTGACATGACAAAGTGCAGCTTAATTTGCAGCAAACTTTGGCAATAAGAATTTTAAAGGAAAAGAGTTCCATGAGAGAAATAGGTAGCTAGGTGTACAATAAAGTTTGGATGGCTAAAAAAAAAATCAAGAGGATTTGTTTAAAGACATTTGAGGTGATTGTACCCATCCTAATAAGATTTTCTTAGGATACAATCCTGTATATGCTCACTTGGGAGTAAGCCTAAGATAATTTAAAAGCATTAACTTCTGATAAAACAGCACGTATAGGATTTCGTTGTTGAGAAAACTTTATAATGGTGATGAGTGTTTGGGGGTTTTGCTTAGTAAAATGATAAATGTATTAATTACAGCATATACCTTGATATTTAGAACAGAGTTGAGAAATTACTGTGTACTTTCTTGTTGAAGGTACAAGAGAACATGTGAAATGCTGATTTGTATTGTACATTATTTAGTTGCTGCATTTTTTTAGAGCTAGAAAACTGACATAGCAGTTCTCCTAAATCACAAATGAAACATGGGATTATTTAAATCATGGCTTGTACTATTCACAAGACTGTCCTCTGTATAATGATAATGACATCTTCATTGCTGACTAAAATATTAGATGTTTTATAATTATTGATGATAATAGACTGTGTTAATATTTGAGAATCAAATTGTCTGCATTTTATCAGGGCATGTGGAAACTTTTAAAATAACAGCAAACTTCATGAAGTACATTAGTCAGTTGGTGGTTTTGATGAGGGATTCATGCTTCTTGCTCTCCTCTCTCATTGAAGCACATACCTTGCTGTGTTTGGTTTCAACAGGATTAGCTTGCATGATAAGATGTTGTAGAACTGGACTCACAACCACTGCCCTAAGGAGATTGAATGACAGTGGTTTACACATTCTGGCCCATGAGGAAACAAATTAGAGATAACTTGTTACAGAGCTGGTTTGAAGGCAATTACTTCACAATTATGTGGGAACTCTGGAAAGGCATTCTAACCAGGCATAAAGGATGATGTAAAGGAAAGTGAAAAGATGTGACTATAGATCAGATTAAGAGAGCTGTTTACAATTAGGAAAGAGAGAACAAATTTGAATGGAGCCTCTGCAGAGGATAACATATACATGTATTTATTTCATTAAAGTATTTATGAATTGACTTTCTGTCAGAAGGATTCCCAAAGCAACACACACGCGCGCGCGCGCGCACACCCCAAACCCATTTTAAAACCAAAACATAGCTACCCTTAAATAAACCAGAGTGCAGAATGAAAAAGCAGTGTAGCCAGCGAGGAACAATGCAATTTTCACAGCCTGCCTAAAGCTAGGCAAAGACAACCAAACCTCTTTTGTGAAGGAATTCAACAATTAAGATGCTGCTACAGAGATGACCCATGTACCCCCCTATCTAGCCTCTCTTGGTAATGAGATGCACAACGGAGCCTTTGAGAAAGTTTTGTACATTACAGGCAGGCTTATACAGGAGGGCATGGCTTTTCTACTCTACTGGCCTCAGACTGTTTAGGGCTTAAGCCATGGGTCCTCATACTAAGGCCCACAGGCCGGATCTGGCCTGCCATGCCCATTCAAGTGGCCCGTCCCAGAGGTTTTGCACTTGCGGGTGCTCAGCTTGCTGGCAAGGAGGTTGTTTTGGACTCGCTTGGAGAAAACGATCTCCTTGCGAGCAAGCTGGCACCTTGCCCTGTGCGCCTCCCCGTCCCCACTTTGTGTGTGCATGCATGTGCGCGTGTGTGCGTGCGCGTCCTGCCCCCTCAGTGGCCCATGTCCCTCTGTGGCCCACACGCATTGCTGGCACCTCTGGCTTAAGCAGTAAGAACCAGCACCTTGAATTGGACCCAGAAGCAGAGTAGAAACCAGTGTAGTTGGTATGAGACAAGGTTTATGTGATCCATAATGCACACAACAGACACTGGCTGTCTTATTTTACAGCAACTTCCGCTTCTGAACTTTCTTCAAGGGCAGAGTCACAGCAATCTAGATGAAGTTCCTAATCTAAATGAAAGGTAGATCTGGCTATATGGATCACTGTGTCCAGATTTCCAGGAAGACACAGCTGGTGTACCAGCGGAAGATGGGCAAAAGCTCTCCTTGCTACAACTCCTCTTGGCCCTCCAAGAGCAATCTCGGTTCAGAAGCAACCCTAAAAGCTTTCAGATGGAGTACAGCCCCAGCCCCATCCAAAACAAAATGTATTTCAAATTCCTCATTGGCTTGTCAAAACTACTGGTTTATCTGAATTGAGCCTAAACTTGCTAGCCCACATCCAATCTCTTACTGTCTCCGGGCATAGCGCTTTTACAACCTCTTTGGCAAATAGAGCTGTGGAACATGACAATAGTGATGAAACCAAGCCTCAAAACTCCAGATGACCTCCCATATTGGCTTCCTTTCTGACTGGAATGAGGAGGGCTGAGCATATGGTCAAAAGGCTCATCCTTTCTTCAGTGAACTGTGGTTGATTAAACCGAGTTCATTATGTCTGAGAGGATGATCAGTTGGATAGATAGAGATGTAGGTGAATTTCTGGGAGGCCATCTGCCCCATCACCTTGTTGTCCAAATATGCCAGAGAGCAGTAACAAATTTATGACCGGCTCTTGTGGCAATTGCTTGGGGTGCTGGGCTTGGGGACTCTGGCAGCTTCAAGACTACCTGTTTAGCTAATCACATAAGAGCTGAAACAAGTAGTACAAAAGAATATGTTTATAAAATTGACAGTTCTGACTAGTATGAGTCAACATTTGTGTTTTGAATGCATGATAAAATTTATCATCAGGGCTCTTCAAGAAATAGTATGTGTAAGTCTGTGAATGTGTATGATAAAATCCCATGGTGCAAGTGTCTCAATTTATAAAGCAGAGCTCAATCATGTATATATGTTATATGTCCAAATCATGAACACGGGCTACAAATGTAATACAAAGTCAAGTATTCAAATGTTCAATACACTAATCCTTGCCTGAGGTATCTTTTGATGTCTAGCTGACCCTGCATTGAATCTAGGGCCTGTGTATGTAAAATATGTATGTGCTCATTCTGAGGCTCCTCCCTAGTTCAGATTAGTAGGTTCCAGGTGATTACAGTAAGAGGCTTAATTTGAATAATTAATATTTAATTATTTAATGATAATTAATGTTGTTAGCTTTAATTTGGAGGGATT